CCCCGCCCCGCCCCGCCTCTGCTCCAGCCTTTAGCCGGGCCACCTTTAATACCGCTGCACTACAGCCGCAGCTCCAACAGGAGACACAGCGAGACGGACTGGTGCCGCTGACCGGGGACAAGCTTACTGCCCCTACACAGAGAACAGGCGCAACAAGGAAAACTGCGGGAGGATAACTTTGTACCGGCACACACCCTTCATGTTATGGGATTAAAGCGCACAAAGACACACACCGGTGCGTAAAGTTGATGCGCTGATCCGCTGCTCCAGAGAACATTACCACTGAGGTCCAGCAGAGTCTTTGTCTGCGGAGGGAGAGCTGTGCAGCGCGGCTGGAGACATCGGGAGGCTCCCTGTGAACGCGCCACATGCGTGTGGAAGATATGGATTTGCTTTTGCTATAGCCCAGATGTGCCGCGGTTTTTTTATATTTAAATATTCATTTTTTCATCCTTGGACTGTGTGCGTGGTGACATTGTTAGATTGTATTTCTCTTTAACGAGCGCAGAGATATCAAGACTAAATCGTGCGGAATTACAACCATGAACTGTGTTGTCAGTTTGGTACACATCCTTTTGGCAGCGGTTCTTCACCTATCCACAGTAAAGGTAAGCCTTTCATGTTGTATTGATATCATTCATTTTACTATTTCACACGTGCCTTACCAGCTTTCTCAATTCTCAGTGGTTTTAGATAGTGGCTGTAAGTGAGTTGCCAAACACTGCTCACATGCACAAAGAATAAACATGCAGGGAACATATTGTCTAATCATTATTAAATAAAAAGTAAAATGTAGATTATTTAATATAGTTTTATTACATTATACACTATCAGCATTTTCTAGATAAAAGCCTTATTTCTTACTTTGTTCTAACCTCAAAAAGTCCATCAAAGATCAGCATGGTTATAGTTTGCTTTATACATGCAAAGAGAAATAAGTATCTTTATTTGCAAGACAATACAATTATGAGCACTGCAAATACACCTTTTTATCTGGCTTCTCCAAATAGTGCTTGCTGGATTAACCTTTAGGATTCTCCAAAAGTTTCTTGGTCATTTCCAAAAATATAGGCTACAATATGGTTGCATTAAACTGGGAGATTTGTGAATGGAGTTGTGAAGAGCGGGTTCTGTACAGTCAGTCCCCCGGGGCTCCAGTGCTCAGTGTTCCCACGGGGATCCGACAGTGTGAGGCCGAGCCCTCCCCCGGCCCGGCTCCTCGCAGGATGCCCCCTCGCTCCCACACAGGCCGATCCGCTTTCTCACGCAATCCCTGCGCCGGTTGCAGCAGCCACCACATAAAGTGAACGGAGCTCTGCTTGGGGGCCGGTTCCCCAACGTCATCTTTTTTTACTATCAAAATAAAGGCCGGTTCCCGTTAGTCCTTTCAAAATAAAACTATTTCTTGAAACCCTTTGAATTGAGTGCTTGTAACCAAATCTCCTCTCCTGTTGCTTTAAAATAACGTATTTTGAATATTGCTAGGGTTTATTTATTTCTTCTTCAAATGATTAAACTCCACTATGGAATTATATCTGTAAACTGTGACCATATTTCCACATTTCAAATAAGTGCTTAGCATTTCAATGTTAATGTCTTTCTGTCATCTTTTGGTAAACATACATTACGATTACTGGTTGCAGTGCTTTTATTTTGAAAGTCAAGCAGCCTCACTCCTTTTCTGCTTGTCTGACCATCTGATGAATGAAACAGATATAATGGAGAATACAACAAAAACATTTACACATTTATCCAGATATACATTATAGTTATGATTGTAACAATTTGATATAATCCTAAATTAATAAACTGAATTAAAAACCTTTATATTCTTTGTTGTACTTCAATTAGTCTAGTAAAAAATAAATCATTTGGGTAATGACACTTTCATACATGCATGCAAATATGACATATCTAACACCTTGTCTTATGTGCATCTCTTACAGACTGCCAGCATTACCAAGGGAGCGGAGAAGAGTACAAATGAGGGTAAGTTTCCACAGAGCTGTCTAATTTGATCTCTTCTTCTTTTCCTCTGTGTGCATGCAAGATGAACAGGGCCACCTAGTGGACATGGGCTGAACATTTACTGTACTAGGCCTCAGATTTACTTAGTTTAAAAATAAAAACAGTTTGATATATGGAAGGGATATGCAGGTATTTGTGTAGGCTGAGTGAGGATTGTTTTTCTGTCCCAAGCTGAGAAGAATCAAAGTTTCCAGCGGTGAAAGGTCTCACTGGGGACTTTGGAGTCGCCATAAAAAGTGCTGCAGATTTCAAAACAAGAATACGTGGGAGAGAAAAGAAAGTCAATGCCTCAGCAGTAACTGGGAGTTATTATATGTTTCTACTTTCTCTTCTCCCAACAATCTATGGTGAAATATCAGTTGATACACGAGCAGTCAGCCTTGGTTCAATGCCGCACTCGTGTTTGTTTGAAAGTGATACTGTTGTGTGAGGCCAAGGTTGGTTGGTCTGTTGGCTGGTGATGGATGGAGACACTGATTAGTCTTTACACACAGCATCAGTGGACAGGTTGTGGGATGGATTTTAGTGTTTGTAAAGGAGACAAACACACACTGTGACAAGGCAGGGTAATTTAACCTAGGAATTTTACTTGGGTCATGTGATAATGATGGAAACCATGAGATGGAGTTGAAAGCTCTACAAAAAAAGGGAAAATGGATCTTGTTTGTTCGTCAAAACCCAACGCCCCGTGCTGATTGTTAACAGTGTGGCTCTTTCATGTGACTCTAATAGTGTTGGGACATGAATGGAGATACATAGCACTGGGGGAGGTTATATATCAGACCTCACACATAATACTTATTTGTTTACTGTTTTTTGGATGAATAGAAAGATGTATAACCAGAGTAACTGTTACAGGCTGATGTAAGACAGAGCAAATGTTTGCAACCTCTGTCAGGAGGTAGAACCAGTTGAGTGTGTTGACATGAGGCTCATGAAGTAAATCCACCCAGCAGGTGCTAATGCTTTAGCTGCTCTTTGCAGCTGGCCTGGAGCCAGAACTGCATTTGTAATCATTTTATTATTTGCAAATCTGATGTAACACCTAAGAGTCTGTAAAGTCACCTTATCAAGTTTCAGGTAAAGTAACGAAATGCCCAAGCATCAATGTGGGTATTAATTGTAGCATTTTATAAATCACAAAGCTCCCACAGTCTGTCTGCAGCGTTAGTCCAGAGGCAGAGCCGGCACATGGGGTGGGCTTCCCGGGGTCACATGTCAGAGGTGGACCCTGGCGCCACAGAGCCTGAGGTCATGGCTGCTCTGACTAACCAGGGGTCAGGAGTTAGCTGGGGGTTGCTGGGAACCTCGTCTAATGGACTGTGGGACGGATTATTCTGGGCTGCGCAAGGAACAGAAATACAGAGAGGGCAGGGCACTCATTAGGCTTGAGCTCGGTATTAAAGGGTTCTGTCGGACATAGCTATCACAACTAATTCTGTTCTTTATCTTCAATTATTACTTGATGCTTGTGTTTCATGTCAAAACTTTGCTTTGCACTCTTCCTGTAGTCGATATAACTTAATTTCACTGTGACAAAACTGTCTGCTAAATAAGTGTTGCTTCTCCATACCAACTGTGTTGCTGCGTCAGTGTAATAATTGCCACTCAAATATTCCAAAATATCTGCCATTGCACTTATTGGCTTTAGCCACATGGTCATATTTCCCTAGTTACCTACTCCTTAATGTAGATTTATCTTATTTTATGATATTTTTAACACTTGCAGACATTACTGGGAGTTTCTTAGAGCATTGTCAAACATGTCATGTCTTTTCCCACCAAACAGTTGACAGTTAAGATTTTCACCACCACAAAAAAGTCATTGGTGTCCCAAGCCACAGATCTGTGGAGCCGCTTAATGAGCTTGGTATGCTATTTGGCATCACCTAGGTATAAATAGCTGTGGTGTAATTATTTCCACATCTGAAAGAAAGGGGCTGAATTCCTTATTACATAATATAATAATAATATTTACTTTTCACAGTGGCTGATGAAGAATTTTCTTCGTTTTCCCCAGTCATCCCTCTCATAGATGTCGTCACTAAGAGTCTGTGTCAGCCCAGGGAGGTGCTGGTGGACATCTTCTCGGAGTATGCGGAGGACACGGAACACACCTACATTCCCTCCTGCGTGGTGCTCAACCGCTGTGGAGGCTGCTGCAACGACGAAGCATTGGAGTGTGTTCCTACGGAAACACACAATGTCACGATGGAGGTGAGCATGGGGGGAGGACATAATATAATAATCTTCAGGTTCATAATTGTATTTTGTCCCTCTACTGTGACACGTCTCCATGCTTTAATGTTCAAAAGCTCTTTATTTTTCTCATTCACCCTCTGCCTGAAACCCCCAAAAGCATAATAGGGCCCCTGTGTAATTTGTGCCCTTCACATAATATAAAAACATCACTTTTTTTATATTTACACATTTAAGTGTGTCTTTAAGCACTTAATAATTTGTGTGACTAGTTAAACTAAGCTTATGGTTTTCACCAGCAGATGGACTTCAGTTGGTATGGCTCAGTCGTCACTATATGATCTATTTGAGTTGTAGGCTAACACATGACTGTAATTCCACACCTTGGTCTTTGTCACCACTGATCTATCTCTATGAATGCTTCAAACACTGATGAGGACCATGACATTGAGGGATTCAGAGAGCTAGTCAAAGGAGCGTGTGTTGAGATGATTAGGTTAGTAGCTCTTCAGGCATTATGGATGTGGTCAGGCCAAGGTTTGGTTTTCTGCTCACTATGTGCATGTCTGAGACAAAAACACAGAGCAGAGAAAGTGCGGCTGCAAGGCATCTCAGATATGTTGTTTACCTCCACACACGCTGTGTTTACAGCCGTGTCTGTGTGGTCAAACCTCTCCCTTCCTGCAGAAGATAGGAGAGTCCCACAGACAGGTCATGTCTGCAGTTACACAGCAGTCAGGGCTGTGCTGTTTAGACTGTCTGTTACCAAAAGTCATGTTGATGTTGTTTTAATCTAAACCTTGCTTTGTGTTGTCCTCTGTTTCTCTTCAAGGTAATGTGTCATAGACCAATGGTAAAGAAAGGCCCTATTCTATTAAGTTTCACAGAGCACAAATCGTGTATATGCAGGTAAGAGACTGCACACCTCACTCACAGTGACAGTGATGGAATACAAATAAAATAATTAAATGATCTTCTTTTTAATTCATTTCAGACAAAAGCCAGATCTTCCAGTAAAGAAAGAATAGTAAGTACGTGTTTTGTTTTTTTTGTCATGTGTTTGATGAGCTTCTGGGGGGTATTCTGGTTGGTTGGTGGCTGGGAGCAGGGTCAGCAGCAGCTGGAGGCTGGAAGGAGCTAACTGTGCTAACAGCTGAGTCAGCAGAAAGGCTTTCTGACAGAAACTCTGTCTTTATGTGGGATGCACTGAATTAGTGTAGAAATAGTTTTAAGATTAAAAAGTAGGGCTCCTTCAAGTTGTGACAGCATATTTTTCAAGTTGGGGTGAATGTTGAATTAATATCTAGATCTGGGTTTACCTCTGAAATTCTGAAAGCTCTTTTCCTCCAAAAGGGGTAACATTTAGTATTACTGTAATAAGATGTAATACATGCTTCTAGCTTCTTGAATCCTGGATAAACTGCACAGACCTTTCCAATTCCAGTTTAGTTCAAGAAAAAGTGACCATGAGTGGTGATGCAACAATTTAGGAGGTCAAAGTATGTCATCCAACTCAAACGCACTCATATGTTCCATCAACTGTCCTGTAGATGTTGGAGGTAGCGAGCTATCTTTACAGGGCTCTCTCTTTGAGCGTGCTCTTTTTATGGTGCCAGGGTTTAGTGCTTTATGGTGCGGCTATAACAGCGTGAGTGATCGAGGCGTAGCCGCCCGGCTTCAGACCACCCTTCGCTGACTCCAGTTGCACAAACCTGACCCTCGGCCCTCTGTAACTTCCCCAGGCTAATCATAGCAACAGGTGTCATGCCGTTAACCTATTTTTATTTTAAGTGGTGTAAATAAAGGATGAGCTTTGAGGGAGACGTGCTGTAGATTGAGAGAACTCCCTCGCTGTCACAGCTGACATGGGGCAGTGTGTGTGTGGGACAGATGCATGCATGTGGTGTGTGTGTCTTCATAGCGGCAGGTCAGCTCGGTAATTGGATAAGAGGGGGTGCGTGTGCCGATCGGCGGGTTAAAACCTGACGGATTGGTGGAGGAGAGATTGGATCATGTTGGCTAAGTCCAACCCGTTTGTCATGGGACTCAGCTGATCCTGGGCCAGCCTTGTTGGGTGTCTGCCTGTCACTGTGCACGTAGGCAGCCAGGCAGTGGCAGGGTGGAGGGAGCAGAGAGCAGTCAGTGACGGGAACATACGCTCCGGTACACCTTGCCCAGTGCTATCTTATTGATCACCCCCGCCAATGAGAAGATTAGGGCAGTTATGTTGGTTGATTAGCTCCCATGGTTTGTGGACTATATACTGAACACCGCGGGAGAAATTTGCTCTTCTCTTCCTCCTGTGTGTCAGGAATATTGACCGGAAACCTTTTAAGTTAGTCTTTTGTAGACAGTTCACAGTGGTGGAAGGAATATTCAGACTTTATGCTTAAGTAAAAGTAGCAATACTAAATTGTAAAAATACTACAAGTAGAAGCCCTGTATTCCTTTTTTTTCAAATAACTACATAACAATCCATAAATCACAAAAAGAATAGAGAGAAAAAGGGAAAAAAAGTTTTGCATTAAATATCTTACTTAGAGGTAGAGAGGATACAAAAGTATTGGGATCAAAATATATTTAAAGTACCATAAGTAAAAGTACTCATTATGTGGCTTATTTGCTATTTTGTATTTGCTAATAATCCCAGTAGTTGAGTAGAAGTATAATTTATCATAACAGTAACATACACAGATAAAGTACAAATACTTTGAATACAAAATGAATCTTTTAAAATCACCTACCGTGGTACAATTGTGTTGAAATAGTAAATATAATACTTGAGTGAATGTACTTAGTTACAATCCACCACTGCAGGTCCCATGTTTACCTGCTTATCTGCCCCATGATTTCCCTTCACTTCTAAATAACTTTCCCATGGCATATGTCACGTTATCTCCGAGTTATCTGTAAGGCTGTCTGCTGGACTGTACTGTGCTGCTCTGATAACTTCTACTTTCTGTTGGGGGTTTATCTGCTGCCATGTTTGCAGTGCTACACACACGCGAGTAAGATCACTGCAGCCTTGACAAGTTCACAGATAAGTTCTGCTTTGGGTTGCTTTGCTCCTGTTTTAAAAAAAGGAGGCCATACAGGATTGATTCTGCAGATTGGTTGTGCAGTTTAAGATCCGAGACTAAGCATAGTTCCATTTTGCCCCATAGCCACTCCCCTATATATCTACTTCTGTCCTTGATGTGTCTCTGGCGTGACCTTCCATCTCATAAACTGAGCACTGTAACAGATACTGCAGCGGCTATAGTGTCTAGCTCAACGTCAAACTGTTAGATGTTCATTTCTCATCTATGTGCCTCCCATGGGTGACCCTGCTGCCTCAGTTCACCCTTTAAGTTTAGATTGTAAAGTGTTGGGTGGAGTTGGCTCAGTTTGCTTTTGGCTCCAGCTGCTTGTTTTAAAATTGTGCAAACCCAGGCACCAACTTCTTATGCTGTCAAGTGTTCCCTCTGCTCCTACCAAACAAAAAACTGTCATGTAAATAAAGAATGACAACACAAACTCAAACTGCACCCAATACATTTTATTTTTAGATAGATAGTTTATTCATCCCAAATTGGAAAATTGTTTTGTCACAGCGGTTGTGCATTTGACAAGTTAAACATTATTTAAAAGATAAAATAAGAATATCATAATCATTTAAATTAACATTATCAGCAAGTATATACAAATGTACAATAGAAAAGACAAATATAATACTGAAAATAACTGAAAGGTTGACTTTAATTAAATGTATTATGTCAACAGATTTCTCATAACTGTATTATGTTAGTTGAAACAATAATATTACGTTTTAATACAGAATATTAGGTTCAACTTAATATTATTGCTTTCAACTAACCTAATACAGTTATGGGACATTTGTTGACATAATACATTTAATTCAAGTCAATATTCCGTTTTTCCAGTGCACTAGAGCAGGGGTTCCCAAAGTGGGGGTCGTGAGATATTTAAAAAAAAAAAAAACTAGAAAAGATAAAATGTAATTTTTCAGGGGCGGACCTCTGTATAATTTCCCTGCAGCGAGGCTCCCCCCGTTGATAATCCACTAACGCAGTGTTTCTCAAACTTTTTCATACCAAGGACCACTTAACCAATAAAAAAACACTCACGGGCCACCTGACTTTGGACAAATATCCAAAAACAATAGGCCTGCTTACCACTCCAACAGTACATAACAGCCTAATAATGACAGCTTAACCTTCTCTATATCGCCTCGTTCACACAATAAATCAACAATACAAATACAACTACAGATTATATAAGCATTTAGTTCAAATGCGATTTAAAATGCTCACAGGTTTTACACCTCTTATGAAATGTAGACTACATTTATTACGGAGTTTAT